TCTCTCTCTCTCTCTCTCTCTCTCTCTCTCTCTCTCTCTCTCTATATATATATATATATACACACACATACACACCCTGGCTTCGAGGGATTTAAACGACTATGCGGATTAGTGCATATCTTGATTCAGAGTCTGCTCTTATGTGGGTTTCTGGAAATGAGGCTGGGACATGATGATGATGATGATGATGATGATGGTGGTGATGGTAATCTGTGCGAGTTACTGCAGCAATTCATACAAACTTGTTTTCCTCAGACGGACAGGAAGACAGGTGGTTGGTGCCACCTGCTGGCCTAACACAGCAACTGAAAAACTGCGGCTCATCACAATGAAAGCCTCAAATGCGGCAACGGTAGCACAGCACAAGAACACTACTGTTGCCAGGGTTACTCTTCACTCTCACCAATATGTCAGACAATTACTGTCAAGAGGCAGGAAGCTTCTTTAAACGATAGACTGAAGGAGAAGCCAAAAGAGTCCATTTAAGCACATACGTTCACCACATACCTGCGTTCTCCCGCAGGGCGGGCAGGCTTGCCGATGTCAGCGTCTTGCCGTTTCTTGACGGGCGCGGAGGGCTTGCCGGCCATTTGGTGAATCCTCTGGCCATTCTGCAGGCAGCTACTCTGACTCACCGAGCTGAAAATGGCCCACACAAAAGACAACGTTATGGCTCTATTTTTAGGAGATAATAGAACAACGTAACACTTCTAACTCATTAGGACGATGGATGAAGCTGGAGCCTAACCCAGATGACTTTGGGCGACATGAGTGGGCTGCATCCTGGACTGATCACAAGTAAATCTTAAGGCACATACAAATACAGGTAGTCACAGTCATATTCACACTATGGACAATTTGGACTTTTCAATGAATATAATAGAAAATTTGGAAAGTGGAAAGACAACATGGAGTCTGTGCCGAGATGAGAGCCCAGAATGTGTGAGGCGGATGCACTACTAACCACTACACCACTCTGCTGCCACAATCATCACGGACATTTTTGGAATCATCATACGCATGATGGCTTTTTAACTCGGATAACTGTTAACTGTCAAAACTGAATGCCGCCGCCGGCAGATTTACCAATGTCACCGGTGCCAAGGTGGGTATGTTTGCTTCCTGTATTGCCCAACAAAAAGGATGTACTCAGTACTATGTTTCAAAATGTACAATTATAATTGAAACACAAAGAAAAAACATTAGTTATTTTTTTGAGAAAAAAAAGTAGGTGGAGTATGTTGCACAAATGGAAAAACTATTAATGATCCAAAAAACAAATCTCTCTCTCTCTCTCTCTATTTATTTATATTTAGATATTTGCTACCGCAGCGGGCAGGCGTAGGCCGAGGGTGGCCGACCTCACCGCGTGCCCTCACTCAGAATCATATATATCAATCATATTGTGCGCTGCTCCCCCCAAAAAAGAAAAGAAGAGCTCATTACCGGTGACAGACAGTATTAGCATTTTTTAAAACCACGGTAAACCGTCAAACTGGTTATCAGCCCGTGGCTAGTTGGAAGTGATGCTATTGGTTCTTCTGCGCATGCGGGTCACTTTGGGGACGCATTTGGTTCATACACCAGACGAAGGTGTAGTGTCTGTCAATTTACCCCCACCAAACCCCCCCCCCCAAAAAAAACCCAAAACTCAAATTGAGCAACAAGACCTGTAGTCTGAACATCGCCCCCCCCCCCCAAAAAAAAACCAAAACTCAAATTGAGCAACAAGACCTATAGTCTGAACATAACCTTTTATGTCATATTTACTGAAGCAATCATTCTGTTTTCCTGACATGTGCTTTGATGCGTCAACAAACCTCTTGGCTGTTCTGAAGCTGTCGTCGGTGGCGCTGATATCGCTCGTCTTGTCGTTCTCTCGCGGTCTACACTGCACTTTTTCTGCACTTTCCTTCTGTGTTAGACAATCAGAGGTAAAGGACTGTTAGCTGGTCAATCACTCACTCAATGTAAATGTTTCCAAAAATTGGGCTCTGAGGACCCTCAAAGTAATTTACAATAATGAGATATCATTTAAAAAAGGGTACACTTAACACTCGAGGACAATTTATCCATCCTAATTTAGCTTTTGATCAAGTAAATTGTGCTAAGGGTGTATTACAACGGCAATAAAGTCCTATTTCTTGAAGAACACAATATTAGTCCCATTAGAATCATTTTCCATGATAAATGGTGTAATACCAGAAGGATAAAGTTGTATTTTGAAGTTCACTTATTAAAACGAATCTCGTCCCTCATTTAAATTAGACTTTAATATTCAAGATGACAACTATCTTGGTTCCCAAAAGATTATGACTCTTCATCCAGACAAAATACGTCACTGTTTTTTAAAGATGATGACTTTTTCAAAAACAACAATTTTACTCTCAAAACTTGGCGCAAAGAATTTCTCTAAAAATATGAATTACTCAGTGCAACATTACAGCCTTTTTTCTCGAAAACAGACAAGAAGGTAGCTTTGTTTAGAGCACATTCCAGATGCAAGATAACTCAATTGGATTATAACGAGACACCTTTTTAATTTCTCCACTTGAAAGGTTTGAGAACACCCAATAACACAAACTAATAATGATTAACAAATGAACAAATGAGTTGTTCACCGAATGTCTTTCCAGGCGCTCCTGTTTGCGCTCCCAGTCAGCAAGTGAGCGCACGATCGTGTCCTGGCCTTTGGAAGCCAACGGGGCAGGGGCAGACGATGGCGGAGTCAGGGGTGTGACCGTCTCTTCCAATATTAGACGTTCCTGACGTGAGGGTCATGTAGGAGCAGTAAGCAACAACATAGACGCACAGGGAAACAACCCAATTACGACTGCGATACGTTCTGTAACCACTGTCACGTAATTACAAAAAGAAACACTCCCGCGATGTAAAACCTGAAGAAAATCATATGACACGCTGCCATTTGTTGACAAATGAGAAGAATATGGCAACTAGCCATTACAAGAAGTTGTAAGGTTGCTAAAGGTTGGTCACGACCACCCCAAATGAGTATCGTATCAACAGTGGCGAATGCTGGGTCTGTCAAGGAGGGGAAGCTCAATTTTGGCCTACATCATAAAATGTGTCCGTTTATTTACACGTGAATTCTACTCTCCGTTCCTTTTCAAACTGATCTGTGACCCTGTCATACCAACAAGGCGTCTTTTCCAGGGACTTAACGAGTGTCCTACAACTACAGCAACTACAATAAAACCCAGCAGAAATAAAAGACTAATTCGTCGCTAGTCGTTTTCAACAAAGAGAGTTTCGTTAAGATGATTAAAAGAAGTCTCCAGTTCAACTCAGAACAGAATGAAAATTGAAAGATGCTCCCACGGATGCTGACACCAAAAGATCGGTAATTGGCTCATTTCGCTGTCAATCAAAAAGAGATTCAGCCTCAGACAGATCATCCAATCATCATGCAGAAAAGCTGAGCTGAGCGTCCGGGCCAGCCAATACACGCCCACTGTCCATAGACTCCCAGAGACGCTGAGCGTCCGGTGGGCAGGAAAAAAACAGCATTTATCCAATGACTCGTCTCGTTTCAATGCATTGGAACAACCGACACTGAACTCTCTAGACGCCCAGCGTCTGCGCTGTAGAAGCTCAGCGTCCACAGCACAGTGAAGCTGCGGGAATGAATGAGAAGAGAGTCATGTTGTAACGAGTCATAAGAAGCTGATTCAGAAACAAAAGTTGAGCGCGTTGTAGCGCATATTTAGTTAATGACATGTACACAAAATTGTATGTACACACATGTATTTGATCACTTATTTTTGGACATTTTAGAGGAAGCTGAGCTTCCCTTGCAGTCTCAGAGCAATCGCCTCTGCTTATCAAATCAACTTAGAAGGGAGCTGGACGCTAATGTAGCAGTCTACATCTTCACTGTTGTTATTTCTTCCCTGACATCACAGAGTTGAAACACTGAGCGCTCAAATTTATCGTTCTTTATTCACAAAAAGCTGGTACGAATACAGACAAAGTGCACCAAGGATAATGTTATTCCGAGGATGTCGTAACCAAGAGAAATTAAGTCAGTCATAGCGCTAAACCTTGCATCGATTGCAAAAAAACCCCCCAAAAAAACTAAACAAAAAAAAAAAAAACACCCAAGGAAACCAAGAACGCAATACAATAATTGAAAACAAACAATACAAAACAATTGTAAATAGCACACCCACCTTATACCAGTTGCATATATGCTTCTATATATCTATATCTATATTGCACTTTTATTGAACTGGGTACAGCTCTCTTCTGAAACAGTTATTTTTGTGCATGGAAATACTTAGTTTTTTCTTCTTTCTACCCCCCCCCAATTTTGCTGCTGTAGACTGTAAATTTCCCCAGTGTGGGACAAATAAAGGATATCTTAATCTTAATACAGGCTCATGACGACGAACATAAAAAGCCACACGAGGCTCATTTTCACAGCAACCATCATTTGGTATTGTGTACAGATATGCTCGCACCTCCTCATGGTAGCGCCTCTCCTCCCGGGCAACCTCCCTCTGGGCCTTCTCCCACTCTTCCTTGAGCTTCTCCTGCTCCCGCTGGTACTTTTCCTGTGTTACCACGGCAGCACACCACATACATACACAAACCGGAAAACAAGACAAGACATTGTGATTTATGTCGGAGGCGTGTAAATACGGATTTAGACATCATCGGAGATTGGCTTGACAAGAGTGAATGTAAAAAAAAAAAAAAAAGGAAAAAACAGAACAGCAGAAGCAGGCAGGAGCTGGACATGCAATTTTCCGAGAACTGTTTCGTTGTTAAAAAAACGTCTGCCTTTTACAAAGATAATAAACTGGGTGCCTGCAGGCTTAAAATTGAAGATGTTTTTGGATACACGACAACAGCGTGACGTTCGGTTTGTGTGAGAGATTACAGAGCATTGGTTGTCATCTTACTCATTTTGAAGGTTATTTAAGGCCTTCAGTTTGAAAAGTCGAATTTAAGACACCTTAACGCCCCTCACACACTCTGAAAAATGCTGCATTTTGATTGATACTGCCAGATTTTAATTGAAAAATTTATTTAAAGTGGCTGTAATTTGAACTTCAGAGAGCTCTTTTGGCATTATGATCTTTGTAATGACTTTTTTTCCTATTCGGACTTGCATTGGAAGCCTGACCACACTCACAGAGCAGGACAAACAATTATAGGGATGAAACACAACCAGCACGTGATGTACCGCACGCACATCCATCCATCCATCCATCCATCCATCCATCCATCCATCCATCCATCCATCCATCCATCCATCCATCATCGGAGTTCAGAAGCCTTTCTCACTGAGCTGCAGAGGATGATGGGGGGAGGGGGGCGGCATTGAGTCAGCAGCATCCCACCAGCACAAGCTCTGACACAGTTCCTTGTGCTGCACAAGGCGGCCCTCAGGTGGTGGCAGCGGGACATGAGCGGTTGTTACGATAAGTAAACGCTCTGATCATAATGGCTGCAAGCTTTCAAGGGTGCAATGGAATGCGGTTAATCGGCTTTGTGACATGTAACACATTTACGTCAGAAGCTCGTCTCACGGTTTAAAAGCAGCGGTAGGCAAACTAATGAGTGATCAATGACATGTTTTTTTGGAATTAAATTTAAAATACTTTCTCTTGAATACCTGAAAAATGCAAACGGTGTACCGGTAGTCATTTTATTAAACTATGCAAATTATGTATTGGACATAAACTAATGATTAAAATGACAAGAAAATGCTGACTTCAATCATGTGCAGCATACTGTAACACAAAAAACATTTTAAACACTGCGTGTGCCTTGGTAAATAAAATGACATACCGGTATATCGAATGAATGCGGAGATTTGTTCTTCATTTTATGTGCAGTCATGAAATATATAGAATCGTAATATTTCTTATTTTTATCGTCTACTTAAAATATAATAGATTTCTAAACTTGAACAATGCACACATAAGTAATCCAAATACATTTAATCATGTATTAAAAATACAAAACACTGTTAAAATTATTAAAACTAATTTTTTTTAAATAAATGAAATACTCCTATGACTATTACGATGAAAAATAAAATGAAATACCAGTGATTACATTTCGATGATAAACTTTGTCAAACTAAAAGGATCTTTTTATAGGTTTAAGTCTGAACAAAAGTCTTAAGTGAGCATTTGACAAATGGGCGGGGCCTTCTACTGCATTCTGAAAATGACAAATCTCACCCTAGAGGTGGAGAAACTGTATAACGGGACCACACCGCCGGGAAAGTAGCAAGCTTTTGACAGTGTGACCCTTGCACAAATAAAACCAAAACTGGGGAGTGAATCCTGGCAGTGCTGGAAGTGGCCTCATGCGCCATGCTTTGCCTCGCCACCTCGCCATGTACCGGTACCTGCAGCAGGCGCTCCTGCTCTTGCTGCCACCTTTCCTGACGCTTTCGCTCCTCGTCTAGGTCCCAGGACCAGCGGTCGGCCCGTCTGGTCTGAGGCGATACCGGCACCGAAACCTGACGGGATGCCCTCTCCCCCTCCACCACAACCACCACCCCATCAACAACACATGCATCCACAAAACCCAAAACACAGAAATTGTCATGCATACGCCGGTTACCCACAAACAAACAGGCATCACACATACAGAGAAAAAAAAAATGGAGAGAAGACAGTAATTGGTCTACCACAAAAGCACTAGTCCAATGCTAGCCAATTCACTCCTACTGAAGGAGAAAGACAGAAAAGGACAGAGGTGACCAGAGGTGGCAGGAAGTCACATATGTGCATGTCAGAAGTAATCTTAACCTTCGCGCTTCAAGATATTGATTGTACTCACGTTGCTGTGCTGCTCCTTCTCCCCCTTATCTGCAGAATGGAAATGTATAGTAGCAATGTAACAAACGGCAAAAATCGAGTCAGGAATTAAGATTCTGGTGTTGAATATCAACATCAATTTGCATCAATTGCAACTAAAAATACATTCGTTGAGAATCGCTGAGCTCTACATCGTGACGCATTGAACTGAATCGTGTCCCCCATCCCCAAATTACCTGCAAAGAACTCCCAGCGTAAATTTGGGTTGCTGCTTGTCACTGGAGAGCGGGTAGTGTTTTTAAAACCTGTGGCAAAATATGTGGAAATATATAGTTCAAGAAGTCAAATGGACAAAACTGGTGTACAGTGGCTAGTGGAGCGTGTGTGTGTGTGTGTGTGTGTGTGTGTGTGTGTGTGTGTGTGTGTGTGTGTGTGTGTGTGTGTGTGTGTGTGTGTGTGGTGGTGGGGGTTGTGTGTGTGTGTGTGTGTGTGTGTGTGTGTGTGTGTGTGTGTGTGTGTGTGTGTGTGTGTGTGTGTTTTGTAACCTTCTGTTATTGTAGTTGGCGGTTGATGTCCAAAACAGGGAACCTCCCCTTTCTTCTGGTTCGTCTCCAGGTGACTGTCTATGCTTGTCTACAGATTTCACAGGACTATTAACAGGATGGACGGATGACATGTTGAATTAGGAAGGATTATTTTAATGGTTTACCTCTGAGGTTACAGAGTGCGTGCCAAGCCCTGATTGACACGATGGTACAGTCTCATGTTTGGCTTCTGCAAAAGACAGTGTTTATTGTATTTGGCTACAGTATGTGTCCGCTACATGCACTGACCTGGCCCACTAATTAAAACATGTGTAATTAGGGGGCTTGGTCTTTTTTTCTTCCAAGAGGGTCTGAAAAGTCACAAAACATAGTGACAAAGTTGCCAAGATGACAGCACTGAGTAGCACTCCTTTGGTTGCAATGCACGAGCTCCACCCACAGTCATCATGGTAACAACAGGGGTACTGTGCATTTGCATGAGACGGAACCATTCCACCACAACTGTCTGAGGACGTTTAATAGTGCTCTAATTCTTTATCCATTCATACCTCATCATACCATTTTGAGAGAAGAATGTGAGAAGTTTTACTAAAATACCAAGGAACTGTAAAAGATTTTGCATGTCTGCAATGTGGCAGATCCACAAGTGTCCAGATGGGGGCAGTCGAGTAGTGTATGACTCAGACCTGCAGATGTTTGGAAGTGTGACGCTGATTCACACTTTTTCTCCAGTGGTGCAGCCGCCAGCTGGCTTCCAGTCTTCCACCCGAAACTCTCCTCTGGCTTCTGCAACTCCTAACAACAAGTAGATAGTTGTGTATCTATCTATAAATATATAGAAAATGTCACTTTGCATAGCTTACAGAGAAATCGATAAATCACATACATTTTAGCTTTGTAGTGGGGTAGCAGCTTACTATATGCTCACAGGCATAACACTAGGCACACAAAATAATTTAAATTTACACCTAATGTTAATGGGTACTTAATAGTATTTGAAGGTCATGATTAGATTTATTTTTCATACATTTGAAAACAGCTCGCAGTGTGAATGTTTGAATAAAGGTAACGGAATAAGCTATCGTTTTACCACTGGCAGTGAAGTAGGCCTGCTAGGTGGCATTAAACACAGAGCGATCTCCTTGTCCTGGATGTCAGTCGAAGCTGCCTCGATCTTGGTGCACATCGGATTGTCTCCTGCCGCGGCCGCATCCGCGTGGTGGGCTGTGGTTTTGGGCGATGAGGACGGTAGGAAAACGGGGGAGGACTCCCTTGCTTGGCTCTCGGGCGCGGCGGGAGAGTCGTCGGGTCCCGTGTTGCCATTGACCCGCAGCAAACCATCAGCCTAGAAGAGACGGATGCTGTGTTGAGGGCAGACACGTCTGTGCTGAGCTTTGGTGAGACGCGGCAATGCATACAAAGCAGTTTCAAATGAAACGTGATCAAACCCAACAAAATCCAGATGCACAAACAATTACGACTTGATATCATGTAATTTGGCAGCAGTGGAAGTGCCCTAAGACATTAGAAGTTGTTTTACCGTAGTGTGGAATGTTGTGATGATAATCTGAATCGGATCCAGATTCAATGCGATTTGAATTTTCTCCCTCGTGTGGAATGCTTTGATGCTCATCTGAATCAGATCCAGATTTACCTTGATTTGAAACGACAGCACCTGACCCAAAATACGTAAAACAAATATGCGCCCGTCTGTCTAGGATTGCTGCTTCCAATTTGGGACTCAAGACAAATCACCTGGGATAAGTTTGTCAAATTACAAGCCCTGGAATTCGTCTGACATGGCTGCTTCAAAACCCAAAATGGCTGATTTCCTGATCAAGTTGGGACATGGCTCCTTGAGACATTTTCATGTCTCCTGATGTACTCCACAAGATACACACACATCCTCATGTTTTCGGGCATATTGCGCCCCCCCACAAAAACAACTTAATCATCTCAAGAATAGAATCGAACAGTGATTCCAAGAGGGCCCTATTGAGAACTACAACAGAAACGAATCTCTGGGGCGAAAACCTCACTTGTGCCTTCATTTTTGCAGGGCCAGCGTCGTATGAGCTTATGCATGCAGACTTTAGCAACAAGCGAGCCTCAGACACAAAGAGGCGCTGGTAATCTATGTGTGAGGGGGCTTCTAGTGAACTTCTCAGTGAGTACCCTGCACCTCCCGATCCTCGCCCCCTCTATACCTCCACCTTCTCATCAGTCTCCAAGCGCTTGTGTGGGCCGTCTTTGTCCACCGGGGAGCCCACTTCACATTGAGAGGGCCGTTCTCCGGCAACTTCTTAAGTCAATAGGGAACACAAGGCTCCATTCAAAGTGGGACTGGGACGCCTGACAAGACATTCCAGAGAAGCACTTGGCTACATTTAGCTCGGTCGCGACCATCACTGCCCAAGATTTTTATGTGAAAAATACGTTGCCTTCATGTTTTGGATAAAATAATTGATTTAAAACATTTTTGTACAGTGTATTTGTCCTATTTTTCTGCAATGCCCTAAGATATCATAAGATGGCATTAAAGCCCTGACAGATAAACAAAGTAGGAATTTGTGTGAAAAGTATGGTTTAGATCAGGGGTGCCCAAGCATTTTGGACCGACGATCGACTTTTCGATCAACCAACCTCCCGCGATCCACCCGTTACCATGCCATGATGAGCAACAGCCTGACACGGAGGCATGCGGCGCACTTTTGCAGCCGGTTAGCTGTCGTAGCTTCAACCGTTTTAAAGTGCTTCCCTCAGCCCTCTAGATTCCTATTCTTTGTCCGTGCCCTCAGTGGATTGTACACGAAACAAACTCTGAATGACAATAATGATAACAATAAAAGATAAAGTGCAACAGCTCTGATCACAAGCTGCAATTGCAGACTGCTGAACTGCTGATGAATTTTGGACCATTCCTCTGACAAAACATTTATAGTTCAGCAAGATTCCCGGAATGTCTAATGTGAATAGCTCCAAGTATGAATACATTTTGTTTGGTGTTAGCTTAAGCAGAAACTGTTCAGTCTTGTGATTTACATGAAGCTCAGACCACTTTTTATATTTATGCTGAAATGCGAAGGCCTAATGCAATACAGCGTCAAACTGACCTTGCTGGGCCAGGGCTCCGGTGTAGCAGGCCAGGACTGAACGTAAGGCTTGGGCGTCAGCAATGGCAGCGGCTTGGGGGACGGCACCCGGTTGGGCGGCGGCTCAGATGAGCGCGATCGGATCTGTGGCCTTTGGGGCAGCATGTCTCTTGGCCACTCATCGATTTGTGCCTCAACCGTAGATGTGAACCTGGGAGCCGAGGCCGGGGACGACTGCTGCCGCAGATACTTCAGGGGACTGTCGGGGTCGGCTTCCCACGGCTCGGGGGTGGTCGGCGAGGGCGAGAGGGGGACGGGGAAGCCGGAGAAGGACGGGTCGGCCGAGATGCTGCGGTCCAGGACCTTGGGCAGCTGGAGGCGCTCCATAACCGTTTCGCTAATGGAGAAGCGTTGGGCGTAACGCTGGAGGATGAAGGCCGCCTCCTCGGGGGTTTTGGCTCTCCGGTAAGCTGCCCGCAGCTCTTCCTCGCGACGTTCCCTGTGGAGACCAACAACGTAAGCAGCTTGCTTGTAAACAAATGACTTTGGCTCTTCTGGGTCTGATTTGTTTGACGAGAAGGAGCACATAGGAAAGATGTTGACTGTTACACTAGCTTCTGATTCGCTGCCTTTAATGATGGTTTGAAAGCAATCTGTCCATCAGTATTAGTATCAACAACAAAGACTTTTTGTTTGGCTTGTCTGCCATGCATTTTACAGGCAAGTCCATAGGCCCTAAATTATTTTCATGCCTCATGCAAAGTGCACCGTAACTGCGCATGGGTGAAGTTTTCTTTCATTTGGTATTTTTGGAGACGGGCGCAGTTACAAATGGGCGTTTGCTCTGTTGTGGTAGTGAACACAGCCAACTTGCTTCCTGGCCCGTCAAAGTGGCTCCCATTGCTCCCTTTACATTCAGCGCACGAGAGGCACACGGTCAATATGGCGGAAGAATAACAGACTCGCTCCAGTCTATGCAATCGATCAGCGCATGCGGAGTGCGTTTATAAGGAACTACAAGATGATCTTCACTTGGGGATGATGCTCGATCGTGCCTCCCCAAACCAGTCTCCTCTCCTCCAACACACAAACACAAGAATTGTGCTGCAGTCAGCTTTTAAAAAATAAAGATGATGATAATAATAACGCATCCAATTAATTGGTTTCCATAATGATTGAGAGGGTTCGCTGCATGCCGATTTCATATTTACAAATGAAATATGATGACATCCACCACATAGCGGAGCCCAGAATCTGTCTGCCAACATCTGGATGAATCACAGTTACGATGGCTTCTCGCTTGCTCAAACTCTTGCTGTGATTTATAACGATTTGTTTGTTTATTTGAACAGAGAACTCTCATTTGGATTTCCTGCCATGCACGTATGAGTCTTTGCGCTGTGTAACAAGGCACACTAAGAAAAATCTAGATTTCTACATTAGCTTATATAGCTAGCCACCATTCCTTTTGGTTTGATAGGATTCCTTTGGTATCTTTCCAACTTTTTGTGAACAAAGGACATTTGTGTTTCTTTTCAGAACATTGAGTAAAAACTTTAAGACTGTTAGGTTAACCGCTGGCTAGCTAGCCTCTGACTGGCTAGCGAGCCTCCGACTGGCTAGCTGCCATATGCCATATTGCATATTAGTGGTTGATTTACTATTATACGCCATGTTCCTCATTTGAGATAGTGTTTTAAGAGTTGAGAGGGTTTTGAACGTATTCATTTTTAAATGGGTAACATACTGTATGCTCAAACTGATGTTCTCCATTTGAGTTGGACCTACTTGTCCTCGACAATCTCTCGGTAGGTCTTGATGCTCCTCCTCCTCTGCGAGATGCTCTCCCCTCCGGTCATCAGCTGCTCCATCAACTTCCTCTCTTCCTCTTTCTTGATCAGGTCCTGAGAGATGCTGCGCCGACGACTTTTCCACCGGGCCAGATCCTGACGCACACAAATGACCACTGTTATGCTTTATTCTGCTCTACGTGAAAAGGCCAGGTGTCCCTATATTGAAGGCAAACGGACAATTAACACAAAAAAAGCTACTAATAAATGACAACTGCTCACATCTTGCCAGTGACTGTCCTCTTCCTTCATCTGGTTGTACTGGTTGTGCATCAGCTCATGACGCATGTGACTGTGCGGTGGCAAGATCGTGGCGGCGTCATCCTCCCCACGCATGTCGATCATGCTCACACTCCTGCGGAGGACACAAGAGAAAGGGACATTCAAAAATCAAAGTGCAGCAAAGGATGTGTCTTTGCTGTTGCTGCATACATGTCACCTGTTGTTTTTTGTTTTTATCAGGGAATGGACATCACATGGTAGACTAAAAACCACTGCGAACGCGGATTTTCATGAAAAGTTCTTTTTTACTGCAATGACAGTAAATTTGGAAATCGCTTCCAAATATGTTCAAGGAGAGCTGCAAATTATTTTTTTCTACTTGAAATGTGTCGGACAATTTTGTGTATTTTGGAAGTCAACATGTTAAAATCACTATAAATTATGTTTGAAATCATCAGAGGCTATGGCGATTGTAATGTCACGTTTTCATAATCCTTCCAAGAGTTTCCCCAAAACACAAAACATTTTTTTAAGGCAACATGCAATTTAGGTTAGCCTTTGAAAGGAAAATGATTGCTTATTGAGATAAACATTTTATTGCTCATACTGTCAATACTGTAATAATCATAACATGAAAATCCTTCTCTAGCGTATGACCAACACCAGACGCAGTAAAATGGCTGGTAGATTTTCCCATGTGGAAATTGGATGACTTACTGTAGGTCATGTGACACGCTGGCAGGACGCATGGTAGCATGGAGAGACAAACAACAGACAAACATAAATGTGAATTATTGAATGTTTGCCGAGTAGAGATGGTGACACCAAATGACTTGTGTGTCAGATTTAGAGGCTGAATGATGTTGTGCCAAACAGTCACAAGGGGGCAGTCTTCTCTGCAAGCAAACCACTGCTGCAGTTGTCAAGCACCAGCAACACAAACCAAAGCAAACAAAGGTCGTGAAGGGCGCATATGGAAAATTGACTTGGATACCAATAGGCTGCCCAACCATCAAATGTGAAACTAAATATGCTGAAATGTTAGCTCAGATTAGTGTTAGCTACCAGCGTTAGCTTCTGATAAGTGGCAGCAGATTCTCGATTGTTCGGCTAATTTGTCTAAGTGGAGGTATTATTTTGTAAACACACCCTCCTGCCCCTTTCAAATACATCTTGAAGAAGTCACGTCTGATTTGAAGCGGCCACTGTTGGTTTCCGTCAGGCTGTGGTTAACTTCTGCACACTCTCATGATCATTTTTGACTGTTAATCTTTGCAGGCAGGCAGTCAGAAAGCCGGGTGGAGAAAGTGTGCAGCTGTCCGGTTCAGGCATTGGGTGTAATCAGGTTCAGTAAAGGAAGCGGAGCTCATTTCTGTACATCCTGAGGGAGAGTTCCATATTCCCATTTCTGTGTGTACCAGAGTTAAAATTTAGTCCATGCCTGCTATGATGTAATTTCCAAAACATTACTATATAAAGTTTTGGATTAATAGATTATCATGAGTGTAAAGATAGAGTGGAGTTTATAAACAAATAAAAGGACTATTTTGGAGAAAAAGAACAGGAAAATTAAAATGCACACACACAACATTGTGACCACGTGTCGGACGATTATGGATATTCAGCAAGCTGAATGCTAACACACATAATGGGAAACTCCACAAAAGGGCCAATGAATAGCACTGGTGTTGTGGTGTTATAATCTTTTAAGCAATGGATATTGAACACAAACTGTGAAGCAACACATAAATCATGTAACACTCAAAGGCGTAGATTTTCTTTATCCTCAGTGAATGATGATGAATATTATTGCATCTTACTGAGGAGCAGCGACTGTCCCCATGTACAATACTATACATCTGTATGTCTTGCATCTTAGTGCCCTTGTGTGGCCAAGGCACACGTGCCAGGAGGAGCAGCACAATGTTCATTGAATTGAAGTAAAACGGTTTCTTTAACATTGTATTTCATGTTGTAATTGATGTATGTTTTTACTAAGTGAAATTATGATAAATTTATTAAGTAATTATTTGTGCCCGGTGACTGGTTGGCGACCAGTTATAGTTTGCCTTTCGCCCAAAGTCAGCTGGGAGAGATTCCAGGAGCCCCCCGCGAAGCTGTTCAGGATTAACGGTGTTGAAAATGGAGGGGTGGATAAGTTATTATTGAAAAAAAAAAAAATACACATTTTTATTAATTGCTTTTTGAAGACAAATAGTTGAGTCTCTAGACTTCCTCCTGTAAATTTGTTGCAGGCTTCCATTTTCTGAAAATCTGTCTGTATGCTAGCCCTTCTAAGTTTTGACAACATTTGACATCACAATTAAGGTAATTTACCTAACATCACCGACACACAGAGCTTTCGTGAAGGTGTCCTCGTGGGGTTGGGTACAATTTGTGTGTGTGTGTGTGTGTGTGTGTGTGTGTGTGTGTGTGTGTGTGTGTGTGTGTGTGCGCACGCAGGTGCATGCTATGCTGTTTGCACTAGCTTTTAAAGAGTTGAGGAAGGCTGTAGTCCAGATTGATGTCCAGTTAGGTATTTTAAAAATGATACCAAGACACCTGGGAACTCTTTTAAAATGTGAAAAAAGGAAAAATATTTCCCCTTTCATTCAGGTGTGTATATGAACTGCTCTAGATAAGGCTCTTATATTGAATTTCTCAAATATATTGCTTGTAAAGATACATCATTTTTGTCACTCCTAATAAGCCAAGCAGGCCCCCCACGCAGCACTGTTGGGAAATGACTGGGATTTGCTTGATGTGATACAACTGCATGACAAGTGTTAACATCTTGGCAACGTGCACACGCCGCAGCCTGCTGCTGTTAAGAATGCAAGCAGCAGCTCATTTCAAAGGAAACATCCCAGACCCGATATATACATTGCAGATTTCAGCTGCAGATTAGTTTCCAACTCCCTTGAAATGATGATGACAGGCAATCCGGGCCATCTGTTCAGCAGAGGAGAAAGAAACAGGGGGCAGCGGGACGGCACAAGGAACCCCTGGCAATTTCAATAACATGACCGCCGGTCACGGTGCAGAAAAAGATTTTCAAAACTGGGAAGAGTGTGTGTGGTATATAATGTAGTTCTACAAATCGTTTCCAGAGGCGTTTATTCACTCAACCGCAGGCATCAAGATCAAACCACAAATATACCGCAAACTATGACACAGATCTTTTCAGACTCATCTTACATTACCCTAAAAATCTGGGCTGAATTTAGCTTCTCCCCGATATAGAAGGATGTCAGTCTCAGTCTAGGTCAAGGGTCTCAAACTCGAGGGCCGCTTTCCTGCTTGTTTTCTGTCTCTCCCTGCTGCAAAACACCTGATTCAAACGATCAGCTCATCAGCATGCTCTGCAGAGGCCTGATAACGGCCCTGATTTGAATCAGGTGTGTTTCAACCTGGAGAAATGGAAAACATGCAGGAAAGCGGCCCTCAAGGACTGGACTTTGAGACCCTCGGTCTCGATCAATGGTCTCAAACCCACGGGCCGTGGGCCAAATGCGGCCCGCAGGATGGTAGTTTGAGGCCCCTGCCTTGATATGAAAGTTTAATGTTAGTGCGGCCCGCGCGCATTTGATATTGATGCTGTTTGTGTAGGCACTACCTTCATGCTAAATAGTTAGGTCTGTCTCATTTAAAGGCCGACAGCTTCGGAGCACCCGGACTATAGCGGCAACGTGACCGTGCCCACGGTGCCCCGCACCAGCTTGAATACACGTGTGAACCACGGATGTAAACAACCCGCTGCTACTGCTGAATACACATTTAAATGTCAATCAAGACACGGTACCCTGCGACGTCCCCAATGAATAAATTTAGGGTGAAATTTGCTGTTATAAGAGGGAAAAAATATTTCATGAGAACAAAGTTAAAATATTTGGAGAAATAGCGGTAACAGGTATGAGGATAACATTGTAATATTGTCAGCCTCGTAGCACAATTGCCAAGGTAATTACTGTTACAATACGAATAGAAAACAGCAATGTGCTTGCTAAAAAAGTTGGGGGGTTTTTTGCTTTCCAAAATTGTTCAAAAACGATACAGGCAACTACTGTATACTATTATGGGAATTATATGACAAAGCTGTAGAGTTTTGAGGAAAAAAAAAAGATAATCAGGCATATCCAGCTCTGGGCTTGGAGGGCCACTGTCCTGCCTGTTTTCCAGCTCTCCAGGTTGCAACACACCTGATTCAGATGATCAGGTCATCAGCCAGCTCTGAGGCAGCATTAGAACGATCCTGATTATTTGAATCAGGTGGGTTGCTCCTGGTAGAGCTGGAAAATAGACAGGACAGCGGCCCTTGAGGACCGACTTTGGACATCCCTGCGATAATCAACACGCCAGTGTGGCTGTCGCTGGAATCAGGTGCTCCGAAGCACCAGAACTGACTATACACACGCACAAGGACAGGGAAAATGAGTGATGAGATGCTAACACGGAGCTAGCACTAAGCGAAGTTTTATGTGTTTGTGTCTGTTTTTAATAAATGCATTTTTTTTTTGGAAAACCTGACCCTAGCTCCAGAGGCCCCCCAGGTAAATTGAGTTTGAGACCCCTGGTCTAGATGTACCACTTCAATACACATATTTGACACCAATTTCTGCATTTCATGTTCTCCAAGGCTTTGGTGCCATTTTGTGGCATCTTATAGAATTTCCGAAAGAGCATAAAAAACCTCCCAGTTTTCAGCCAATGACTGAGGAATTATTTTTTTGACATCACTAGGGACGATCACAAGAGAGCCTGTGAGGCAGCACCTACCTCAAAGGTCTGTCCCCCCCTACAGGCGAAGTGGCCGTACTCCAGCTTTTGCGCTCGCCATCGTCCTTGTCGCCGTTCTTCTTGCGCAGCGACGTTGGCATGTAGGCGCTCTGGTTGCACTTATTGGGCAGGTACTGGTTGAAGGGCATGGCTGTGCGCGGCTCGCTCACGGAGGTGCGGCGGGCCAACATGTCGTCCTTGTGGATGTCCGGGATCTTCCGGTACGGTGGGCCGTCCGACTCGGAGTCGCTGCCGCGGCCTTGTAGGGGGAAGGAGACGACAGTCATGAGCAACGGCGGGAAGTAACAAAGTCCCAAAACGTGATATTTTTTGGTGACAATGTTAGCAAAGATATGGGAACACAATACTTGCGTAAAACTTAAAAAGGCAATAGCTAGTTCTTAAAAACATCTGGCATGATAACATAATTTTTATCCCCCCGCCCCTTTTTATTTCTCAGTATGAACACAGTGTAACTATTTTGTGTGCAGAGAAGTTTTCATATTACCAATCAATACTTAAAGGAGTCAAATGAATTTTCCTACTTTCATCAAAGCCTGTCTTGACACAAGTCTATACTACTTGAGCAGAGGAAGTATTTTTTCCACCTCTGGTCATGAGGAGGTCAAAATCGTGTAGTCAAAGTGAATTTTGTACACAGACAAGCAGTTACTGCAAAACAAGTGTTTGCTTGCACAAACTCTTCAGATTTTTCTCACATACTTTCAAAACACCAATGCACTAGTTTCCCCTTCAACTTTCCCCAAAGAGCCCAAAGGTGACGCATAAAAGGGGAACATTGACTTTTTAATGTTTGTATACAAAATAGTTGGGCCGTGGAGTATTTGGCCATCCATCAAGTGTGAAATTACACAATTAAGTAAATCTTGTTTGCTGCTTATTTAAAAAAAATGTCCACCACATAAGCAAAGAGAAAGAATGCATAAATAGCTCCAACTAACCTCAAAGACAAATCATTAATCACAAATACCCTTTTTAAACCAATCAAATGTGAACCCGCTCCAAATAAAAGTCTCTGAGGCGGATGAAGACATTTAATCCAACAAGACGGCATAAATCACATTTATTACATGCATCTCCTAAACTCTCGTCCAAAGAATGATTAGAATCTAGGAGTCACAATCTGCATAAATCACATTTATTACATGCATCTCCTAAACTCTCGTCCAAAGAATGATTAGAATCTAGGCATCACAATCTACATGCCATCTTACAAAATGAAAATAGACCAGGCGACACTTAAGATTGGCAACAGGACTTTCCCTGCTTGGTTTAAAAAAAATCTCTAGGTTACATAATAATCCTCAGCGTTAACATGGAGCAGAGGCACCAGTCCTGCGGTGTGTGCTCACTTGATGCCTGCTTCGGTAGCACATGACTGAATGTGCACAAACACCAAGTAATGAGATACCTGCTTTCCTCAAGGTCTCCAGAAATTCCTCCACAAGATGTTCACCACATGTACTGCTGCTACAAGAGCCCAGACCCCGGAGCAGATTCGAGCCAGTGCCATCAAAGAGCACGGCAAGAAAAGGGAAAGAGCACAAATCAGACACTAACTTCCTATGAAGACAAATTGACTATCTTTCAAGTCAATCCTGATCATCAGGCATCAGATGAGTTCAACACAGTATTTTCTAATAGTAACATGACATCTCTGGATTTATTCTTTCCAAAGCCTCTCATTCATAACCACTGTATCAAGTGACAGCACAGGAGGTAGAATGTCTTGCTAAGATTGAATTCAACTTTACCCTCTGGCCTCTTCGTTGCCGTCGGGGTGAGGACACGTAACAGAGGCCAATTGTGAAGGCGCTTTGATGCAAATGTCGGGACAAGGGAGGGGAAAATGGGTCTCCTGCCTCTCAGCCTGCAGCCATTCTGATGAAAGTATGGTCAATATAGGACTTTGATACACATCTTGTATTTTTCAACATTTCAAATACTTTCTAAATGTTACTGTTGTGAGAGATTTTTCAAATTTGTGATTTTTTTTTTTAAAGACGGCCCAGTGGTCGACTATTTAGCACGTCGGCCTCACAGTGCAGAGGTGCAGGGTTTGATTCCGGCCTTGCTGCGTGGGTTTTCTCCGGGTACTGTACTCTGGTTTCCTCCCACATTTCGAAAACATGCGTGACAGGTTAATGGAACACTCTAAATTATCGCTAGGTGTGAGTGTGAGCGCGGATGGTTGTTCGTCTGTGTGTGCCCTGGGATTGGCTGGTAACCGGTTCAGGGTGTTGTCCCCCGCCGACTGCCCGAACACAGCTGGGATAGGCTCCAGCACACCCCGCGACCCTTGTGAGGATAAGCGGATCGGAAAATGGATGGATGTTTTAAAAAAATAAATCGAAGAATTCATTATTTTTGGAATATATATTATATAACATTTAATTTTATACATGTTAATATACATTTAAAATATTTGCATTTTATCGCTACGTGTCTTCAACCTGGCTCCTCATTCATTTTCCGGGGGTAGCTAGTTGGCTGCTGTCCATTTAAGTTGGGCGCATGCAGGTCATCTTGTGATGCGTTGGCGGAATGATGGAGGCAGAGCATGCATGAGAGAAGAACTTGGGGTGGGTGTGAAACATTTCTTTCAACTGACTTTGTTGTTTTATTGATGTTAACATGGGCAGCTGAAGCAGCTTTGTTGCTCCTGGCTGTTCTACTGTATGCTAACATGCATGTGAAAAGCTATTGGTACCTCCTTCGTTAAACAATGGGATAAAAACATGCTTCAAAGTCAAATCCTTGAATTTTTTTGTACTTTGTTGGTTGCCCTATATTACGATCGAGTGTTTGAGTACTGCTGTTTGCACAATTGCATTGAAAAAAAAAGCACTCTTTTGAATTCTTTAAAATTGCCCGAAATGATGTGGGCTGAGGCTAGAGTTAAAACAAAGATCTAAATCAGCTTCTATGACAAAAAAAAGATTCAAAAGGCCTTTTTATTTTGCCGGGCGTTGGTCCGCAACAACACATAATGTAGAACAATGGGCCTCAACGGTAGCGCAGCTGAACAAGCACAATGGGCCCTCATTTATCTGCATGACGAACTGCCTGTATGCACCTTTCAAAAGAGTTGGTGCTTTGTTACTCAATTGCAGAGGTGGGAGAAAGTCACAACTAAGTCTCAAGTCTGCACTGTATTCCAATACTCCATCTTGAAAATGAAAAATTCAAATGCTACACTTGTCTGGTCATGTTCAATTCTAAATCATGTTGTGGCTCATGAGTGGTAAGTCAAGATGAATCTTTCGAAAGCTTTCGCCAGGCAAGTCCTTAAATTGTCAACTTGAGTCGAGCCATGCGACTAGAATGAAAATGATATACAATAGCGGCCTGTGACTTGGATAAAACACACACAAGTTTGCTGGTTGTATAGGTCAGGGGTCCCCAACTGGTCCGCGGGTCATTTGGTGCCGGCCCGCACAGAAAGAATAAATAACTTCCATTCCTTCAGTTTTATTCATTTCGGAATCTGAAAGATGTTTTATTTTGAAAAATTACCAGATTCTCTGTTATATCGGTCAACAGTATGTCACTCTTGACTCCGGTGAGTGCATGCTTCTCAGTCACGTGATAGGTTACCTCATAAAAAAATTAACGTCTTTGAAAAGTTTTTTTGGGAAGGAAAAGGCCCAGCAAAGAGACAGAAGAGGAGCCTATGACTTTCAAGAAAGAGAAGGCTACATTTAATAGACAGTAGGGGTGTTCACATGGCACACATTTGCTTCGGTGCTGCACCGATGTATTTTGTTGCGATATATCTTACACCGGAGCAAATTTTGTAGAGCGTTCACACGTACAAAGCCGCTGACTAAATTGAAGCGTGTTAACCCCGGTGCAGCCCCACTTGCGTTCACACGGCAGTTTCTGCAGCGGTGCAAAACGATAGAAAACAAAGAGCTGTCGTGTTGGTTCTTTTGAAAACATACACAACTCAAGCAACTACTGTACAGGCACGTCTTTCTCCTTCTCGGTCTCCGTGCCTTCTGCTCGAGAGGCGTTCAATGACCGCCCCCGAAAACGTAACCAATGATGACTTCAATGACACTCAGAAAAGCAAACATAATGCGCCAAACAGAAAATCAAGAGAGGAAATCACAAAATAAATTCTGTGGGGGGGTTGTGAACACACAACAGAGGAACAAACTACACAAACAACTCCGAGACAGTCCAGTCTCCTACAAAAGGAAAGATGTCGGAAGTACAACAGAGCATGAAAGCAAGGCATTCTAGCCGTATGTAATCAACTCTTCTCATGCGTAGCGAGGCTACTCCCCCCGCAAACGAGCATTTGCTCCGGAGCAAATTTTTAACCCTGTAGCGTTCACACGTACCATTTTACATCGGTGCTGCCCCGCAAACGAGCATTTGCTCCGGAGCAAATTTTTAAACCACCTCCTTGAGCAGGGTTAAATTTGCTCCGGTTTATGCTGTTTTCAGGGGCTACACCGGTGTAACTTTGCACGTGTGAACGCTCTACTGGGGCAACCCCGGCACTGCACCGGAGCAAATGTTGCCGTGTGAACACCCCTAGTATCAGGAGTCCTATTTCAAATACGGCTTAATCTCAACGGGAGATTCCCACGCACAAAGCCTACTCTGCATAATAAGCGGCAATGGTGAGTCGTATTTTTTATGCACTTTTTATTTACTTCGTATCTTATTTTGAAGGCACGTTTCAACGTTATCATAGCGACCAGAGAATGTTGCGGCCAGATAGGACGTTCCTCGTCTCATGATTCGTGTTTATTATTATGTTTCGAAAATACCACACTTTTTATGCAGGTCATATCATATATTGTTGTATCTATCCGGCCTTAAAGGCCGGTCCCTGAAAATATTGTCTGACATGAAACCGGTCTGTGGGGCAAAAAAGGTTGGGGACCTCTGGTATAGGGGTTCGTACCATCGCTGCTGCCGCGGGCCACCAGGACGTCCGGCGACGGGGTCTGTTGTGAGCGCGAGCCGAACGAGTCCAGGCTGTCAAAGGAGTCCTCGCGGAAATGCCTGGGTGGGGAAAGCGAGTCGCTGCGCTCAGAATCCCAGCAATCAATATAGCCGCTATCCCGGATGCTGCGTTGGGGGCTCTCTGCCTCCTCCGCCTCCTAAAACGTGCCAGGACAAAGACGAAAGGACAGAAATGCTCACATTTGGCAAGATAACAACAAAGATGGATCCATTCAGTTCATTTGGGAAGATGTCACGCCTCAGTGAACCGTTGCTGTTCATGTTGAATGCTAAATTGCTAACAGTTGCAATGCTAACATACAGCACGATAGCCAACTGAGTACAGAAGTCCTCAAGGAGATTGGTCGAAGGCATTTTACATCATGACCCGGCAGTTGTGCACTACCGTATTGGCCCGAATATAAGACGGCCCTGATTATAAGACGACCCCCTCTTTTTCAAGACTCAAGTTTGAAAAAAGACTTTTTGAATACCAAATTAATTTTTATACAGAAAATAATTACAGTACATCTGAAACAAATGATTATAACAATATATGAGAGAAAAAGCATGTTATTTTGCATCATTCAAATCTAAAGTTCAATCACATTCGTAAATGAATGGCTTCTGGTTTTTGAAATGTAAATTACATCATAACTTCTCCTCAGCTGCCGGTTAACCTGGCCGATCTTCGACCCACTTTTCTCCAGATTGTCACTACGTTTCTCCATTTTCTGTTATCTCTTCTATCATTTTCTTCTCTTTTCCTTCTTACCGCTGTTTTTTTATTTTCTTCTTCGTGCTAGCACTATTTTTATTTTTATTCTTCGTGGCAGAGGTTCACTTTGGCCTGGGGAGTCAAGTTCATCATTCGCTTCATTGATATCTGGCGGCATCTGGCGTCGTGAATGGGTATAATGTCTAGACCCCGAATATAAGACGACCCACACTTTTCCGTCTTATTTCAATGCAATAAACACCGTCCTATATTCGGGCCAATACGGTAATTCTAAAAAGAAGTGAATATCAGACTAACAAAATGGTATATCACATGTAGTATGAATGTAGCAACCGGCATACAGAAAGCACAAATGCAGCTCACAATGGTACCCTTTAGTCAGGTATGAGTTCGAGAGAATTCTGCTAAACAATAAAATGTTACCTGGTCAAGCATTATTTCTTTGAAGAGTATTTGTCAACATCCCACTGTGACCGTGCCATTATTGAAACTTCTACGCCAGCTCTAATTCTCTCTTCAACTCAAGGTTCTAAAAACTTAGCGGCTCCTCCCTGCATCTGTCTGCATTTGTAAAATGTCGAGCTGCTAATGGAAGCTGGGGAGATGGCCTTTCCTGTCTCGCAAAATAAGGAAAAGTGCCGCAATTTCCTTGTTATTGTCCACCCACAATTTGGTGTTATAATAACTGACATCATCACTAACGTAATGCAGTTTACGCAGTGATTTACTTTGTATAACTCAAGCTGATTTGACAACCTAAATGAAAAGTGGACGGATAAACTCCAAATTATCTCCTGCTGGTACCATAAAATCAAGGATTTCAAGGAGATCTACATTGTGCACAATCCGAACAATTTTCACACAATTTTTCATCACATGCCCCCTTTAAAACAGTTCGAGATGATGAAAGTCCTCAAAACCTTTCGCATCTGTGACAGGAGGCCCTCAAACTCCCTCAGGTCCAACGTGGGCCCGCTGTAAAAAGTGCAGCTGTTGGCAGCCCGACCCAGCCAGTAGATGGTGATTAGAACCTGCGGCCATCAAAACAGACATGATTGAATTAATTGGATTGTTTTTCCAGTCATGGGTGACGGGGGGTGAACATAAAAAAAAAAAAAAAAAAAAAAAAGCTTTTATTCTGGAAGCGCAGATTGACAGGCGGCAAAGACTCTCCATATGTGTGAGACCAAAGAAGCACGCACAAACGCCGACTGTGAAGAGCCAAAAGCAGTAACCAGTATGTGGTCAATGTATTGAGTTCACTGTCACACTGCTTGTTTATGTTTCTGCCTGTCAAAATGGCACGGATGTGCGCTGAGGCAATATGGCCCATCAGCCACAGAAAGTACACAGCTCCTGGCCAAATTCCAGCGTCAGCATAGTTTTGAATGAATGTGCGTGTGCGACACTGCTAGTCATGACTAGCTAAGTCACGTTCGCCCACGTAGATGCACTGAAAGCCAAATTGCAAATCAAGTGCAAGACGTCTGCTTTTATTCGCGAATTTTAGACAAAAATATTGTATTTTAAAGTCATCATTTTGAAATACTTTTGTAAACGTCTTCATCTTCGAAGTCGACTCGAAATCAAAAATGTATTCGATGCCTGGAAGGTATTTTCATGTCTTAAACAATTCCAGGTGTACACACACACACACACACACACACACACACGTATGTACATACACACACAAAGAGAGAGAGAGAGAGAGAGAGAGAGAGAGAGAGAGAGAGAGAGAGAGAGAGAGAGACTCAACTTCCTTCTAACGGTTAGTATCAATGTTTACATTTTTTACCTATCGTTATTACCGTATTTCGTGTCTGAGATGACTACTTCCAACAGGAGCATTTAGCGAAATCAAATTTATAAGACGGATAAGAAAAATAAGCAGACCAAGGAGAGCCGAGGATAAAGAAGATAACGCCAAAGACAAATGAGAAAAAGACAAAAAGATGACAAAGAAGGAAACCACGAAAAAAAGTGACAACCGAGGAAGATGACGAAAAATGTCAATGAAGAATAACCTGGAAAAGACCACAAGGAGACGATGACAACGAAGAAGACTGTACAAAGACAACAAAGATGAAGAAAACGACAGAAATGCAAGAATGATGACGAATACGACTACAACAAAGATAATGACGTAACTACGTTTTGCATTACACATACGTCGACTCTGTCTCCTGTCTTGATTGTTGCCTGCGACTAAAATAAGCACATTAAGCCACACCAAGCTTTCTTATCGAAGCCGTCCCGGTGTAGTGCGCCGTTGACATGGAGAGAAAATATCGCCGTGCTCAAGCTGCTGCTTTGTGTGGTTGCTCGTATGGTTTTTTTGTTTTTTTTTTGGTGTTTCATTTTGTCATCGTTAAAAGTTATACATAGCTTCTCACATTGCTTGAGGCCTTCCAATTGTGTTCTATTCTCTTCTAAATCATTGCACCAACAGCTGCTAATAAGTCATTCGAGGTCCAGGAGCTTGTCGCATTTCAGCGGGAGGCTTCCTGCCTTCCTTTTCAAGGTGGGAACAATGTCTTGGCCTTGTCGTGTTTGTGCAGGCGCTCTGCGGTAAACGCGGTGCGGCTTTGGAAGGAGGAAGCCGGCCGGCCTTGCTTTGTATTGACAAAAGTGAAAGGAGCGGATCCGCAAAAAGCATGTTTACCTTCCTTTGACCCTTACAAGTAATCTAAATTCCTCACTCATTCGAAGCCACTGACAAACACTGAAAAACTGCTCTGTGTGTGTGTGTATACAACTTAATCTTAACAGCAGAGTGTGTCTTTTTCTAACGCTTGCATCACAGTGTTGCAATTTCCAAGTGTTCCAATTTCTAATGGTTAAAAAAAAAAAAAAAATTCATGAAAGTCACTTACATTTTTGAGCTTTCGGCTGCAGTCGCTCGGCCTGTCGAGAACCACAAACACACAGAGGAACTGTGTGAGAAAGTGAATTGATATCTCAATGTTTGGCATAAGAAGAATTGAAAGTGGCAGCCGCCCACGTGAATCGACAATCACTGACTAAGAAAACTCCTTTTCAGTGGTTACTACAGTGGACATCTTATCATGTTATCAGGTTACAGGTTATATTAATGGTGCATGAAAGGGTTAATATTTCGCACCCAACTTGTGGTCTTAAAACTGTGATGGGGCCGATTGCATTTAAATGTGCCAGAGTAATGTTTTCATTTGAAATACATAAAAAAAAAAAAAAAAAAAAAATTCGAACATCTTTCTTTCATGCTCCACAAAAAAAACGTGTCCAAAGAAGCAGACTTACCAAGGAGATCAATTGTAATTTCATGGGTATGAAGGAGAGGTTATGGAAAAGAAGTGTGATTTTAACCATGAAAAAAACGTTTTCCTGTTCCCCCCATTGTCCTCTACTCACAGATTTTCGACATTAATTCCATTGGGAACCTTTTCTTTTGAAATTAGAACAACTTGGAATTCAACCAAGGTCTGAACAGATCATGTCCCACTCCATTGTAGACTTATTTGGAACAAAAATGTGTTTGGACGGGCGCAGGTTAAAAAGAGGAAACGGTCACTTCTCGCAAAAATCTATTTTGCACAGTGGCCCAAATTCGGCACTTTCCCAAAGCCGATTCCCCGGCCAGTAAACACGCTTCCGAAAAGTCTTCCTGTCATGACAACTTTTACATAACCGGTGGAAACAGCTGCGCGACAACACATTTTTAGGTTTGTTCTGCCCATGAAGAGACATTACAAACTTCACAGTGGAATACAAATCCAACACCGGAGCTGTGTGTACATAGACCAGCATGTGCTTTGATTTAGCGCTGTTAAATTGCACACTCCTGTGCATCTGTGCATGTTTTAAAGGAAAGATGGATTTGACGATGTCATTTTTTTAAGGGTAATTAAGAAGAGTAGGTGAGGTTGTAAACGGAGACTGCCAGACCGGGACTAAGCAACAACAAGTGAGCATTCTCGTCACTCCCTGCAGCTTATCGCTACTTATCAGCAGATTGTATTTATTTTGCCTTTATGCAATCACACAGGCAGGACAATGCTTACCAGAAAAGATAAAACAGCAACGACTTCCACATGGACACAGACTTTAAAGTGGAACGAAAGCCAAAAAAAAATGTTTTATCAAGAATTTGCTGAATGTCTAAACACTATATTCCGATTAATGTTGTGTTTGAGGACTAGGAATTCATCAATTTTCACCCCTTTCGGGGGAGCCGCCATGTTGGGTTTCTGTCCCTCGCACCTTGTGTCAGCTACATGCAAAACGCCACCTGACCAAACCCCACAAACAGCGACGCAGACGTCAGAGTGTGTTGTGATAACCAGCATAAATAAGGGTGATGGCATCACGGTTTGAACAAAATTTGCGACCTTTGACAACCCTTGACAAAAAGACATTCACTACGTTCGCTAACACTTGCAAGCCTTCACCACTCAGCAAGATAGCCCCTTTAATCTATTTGCTATGATATGCCGCCCTTTTGGATCCGCAGAGACCCAGTATGACCCTAAAAAAAGCTCAAAGACCGAAAACAACAACATCAGGATTTGTTGTGTCAACACACAAGAAATACGCTTGTTCACTTGATCAGAAACAAAACAGGTGACATGCTGGCCAAAGAATTCCTAGTCTTGACAGAACAAGTCGGACGGCTCTTCTAAAAAAAAAAAACACTAAACATTGCACTGTTGTGTCAGGACATCTTTGTGGAATGACACCTTGTTCGCGAGTGTGATGACAGCACACACACATAGCACATGTATAACTACAAACACAAGCTTTTGTCACCAGGCAACGCAGTAGCGCTCACGGCTAAGTGGCGCGTGCCGACCGCAAAAGTGCATGATTGTTCTGCGCAATCTTCCATTGACTCGCATTGAGCAATTTGTGTTGGCAGCCAACTGACTGATTGCCAGAAGGAAACGCAACATCACTGACAGACACACAGATGGATGATGAAGCTATCGCGAATGAAAACAATTGAAGGTACTGCCTTTATTTCCTAGATTAGGGTATTCAGAATGCAAACACAGGCTATTTGGGTGGACGACTGTAACACTGACAGACGTATTAATTCAACAACACAGTACCCCCCGCAATTTCAAAACTTCCAGTATTACCCTTAGAAATAAATGGCTAACAGTTGCCTGAGACTTTTAATACTACTTAGCTTAGCTTTTCAATACTAACTGCTTGAGCTTTTTGATAATACTTCATTACTCTCAGCAGAGTAGAAAACATACACATGCGGCGAAGACTCTTCCGTTAACAACCCAGGCTAAAGCTAGCTCCTCCTCACTGTACAGGCTTTCGATTCAACATATTCCCTTGACATCAACGACTACAGTCCTATTAGGAGGGGCTTTGGTGGCATCTTACAGTGTTATAGAAAGAGAACGAAAGCTGTGAGCAGAGGTGAGCTTTTCAGCAAATCGCTGCGGATCGGTTGCTCAAAAAAAAAAAAAAAAGGCCAAAAAGGTCAATTTTTGTGCGTGTTGATTCACTGCATCCCCTTTCATGCATTTTCCGCTCTTTTCTGTGACCACGCTCGTAACATAAAATGTGTAGCTCAAATCATGTTTTCCCATTGAAGTCAATGGAAATGCCTTCAACCCATTCCAGCCTCCCATAAACCATCTTATTTTTAAAAAATGCAGCAATGATATAACTAAACAGACTATAAAGAATTAAATGGCTTGTGCCTCATGATTTCATGTTTCACATCCATTGTGCGGGTTCTTGCAGTGTGCACGTCAGTTTTTGTGCAAAGTTGAGTCAAAAGGTGAGCGAACTGTCAGACTTACTTGGAAGCGGGACGTGTCGACGTGTCCTGAAGGTCTCCGGGGTCAAAAAGCTGGGTTCCCTTCAGTCCCAACTCCTCACATCCACGCAGAAACACACTCAGGTTGTCCTGTGCACATGTTCATTGAAGAGTTAGCCGCTGAGCCCAGTGGAACTCGGTCACTCACCAATACAACAGAATTTACAGTAAGCAGTCTCTCAGACTGAAGAAATCGGGAACTTACAGCATGTTTTAATTTACAACATGCTGTAAGTTCCCAAATGAATTCCCTACGCGATGATCTATTTGTGATGTGTTGGTGACATCTAGTGATCCAACTTGAGTTTTTAGATATCTGAGCTGTCGCTTTTTTTTTTGCTTAGCCTTGCGAGCAAAACGTGGAGATTTGCACACTGTATGATGCCAGTGAACTCAACTCACTTCACAACAAGCAGCATTTTTGTACATTCACTTCTTAAAAAAAGGCTTAAGCTGTTTATCGCCACTGCCAGTTGAAATTCACTGTCAAACTAAACATTCAAGAGAATCACATGCGTCTTTCAACAACCACACACCTTTGGTTTAGGAAAGTCAAAGTCAAAAACAAAGTCAAAGACAAAAATGCATGAAGCCTTAAACAGGCTTGTGTTGCTATCATGTTTTAAGCAACAGAGCTTTGAACACAGTGAAGCAACACATGTAGACCGAGAATATAACAACACTCTCAGGCATGCACTATATTCTTTATCCTCTGCATGGAGCAACTATCACTACTGCAGGTTACTGAGGAGCTGAGACCAACTCTGTGTTTACAGTGTCTACAAAGACTCTTCCCAATTTTAATATTTTATTACAAAGGCAGTTGGTACCTTAACCAGATTTGTTTTATTTTAATAAGTGGTTATCAAAAGTTTGTCATCACGTGAAAGATGGCACATCACGACACTGGGGACTGCATGTTCAATTCAACTCAACTCGCATGTATTTATAGAGCATTTTCAAACAGCCATCGCTACACACGAAGTGCTGCACATGGAGCAACTAACATATACAACAGTAAAGCAAAGCAACAAATCAGTAACAAAGAGGGTAGAGAGCACCAAACAGTATAACTAAGATCATAATTTGGGTCATGCTGAGTCAAATGCCAAAGAATACAAGTGAGTTTTGAGCCGGGAATGTTCAAGTATCAAGAGCAGCTTTATTGTCAAATGTGCTGTAAGATGAAATTTCCTCCCTCTTAAACAGACAACAGACACCAAGAGGAGCCGCTGCGGGTGCCCGCGCCACTCATCATGTTCATCAGTTCCTCAATTTCCAGACCAGCAGATTGGAAGGGATGGACAAATTCCTTGGCCACCACGATCATCAAATATCACTTCATTAAAATTCTTTGTGTGTGATTACATTAAAGATCGTATTTCCAACAAAGATATGTGACATTACAGACTTGAAGCAAGATTTCTGATGCCATAGCCACCACTGTCTGGAGGAGCACAATGTCCAGTGAAATGAAGCAAAAAAGGTGGCAAAATGTGGCATTTTTTGGAGGCTGGAACAGGTTAATGACCATTTTCATGCATTTCCCTTCCATTAAGTTAAGCCTGTCCATTCTGGCAGGAGGATTAACTATGGAAATCTATTGTAATGTTCATTAAATGTCCACTGACTCCTGCTGAACAAATAGATAATCCAATCAAATTTCTCTAAGGAAAGATGATTGCTAGGTAAAGCTGAGCTTGGTCACGGAACAACTTGCAGGAACATGTTCAATAATTCAACAAACATGTGTTCCACTTGGTATGAACTGTATTATAAAAGCCCTGACTCCCAAAAGACACCTCCCCTTCACCTGCAGTTGAGTGCACAACACCCCCCAAGGCACTCTTTGCAGAAATACTAGATAGAAAGGTCATTCAATATGGTAAACATAGGCAAAGAAACTGTGAAGTAAAGTAACGGGAAAATGCGGATAGCAGCTCCACGGCGTTTCCTATCAGACGACTGCAAATTGAAATCGTCATCAAAATGAATGCATCTCTCCATAGTCACCATCTTCTTCTTGATACCTTTTCTCGACCTTTCACGCAGCCGTCTCGAGCATCGACATTCTCTGACAAAATCTGTGTGGGTTGCAACCTGAGCCGAGCTCTCCCTCCTTTTTCCCAGGTTCTCTCTCTCCCCCTCTCCCGTGCACACTGGCCAGTGTGCACTCGCTGGCTTTGTTTTCCTGCTTTGTGTCATTCAGTGGGCTGCAAGCAAAGTAATTTCTCTCTCCATCTCAGGGTGTCACCGTTTCCTTCTCCACCCTGATTTCTCCCAGACCGAAACACAAATACAATGACCTTATATTCATAAGACCAAAGTCAAGTCTAGTGTGGGAATGAATTGAAAATGAGCATTTTCATATCTCCTGCATGGAGATAAAACACATTCACACACACATCGGAGAACATTCTCACGGCGCTCGGGAGAAAAGAAAAACGGCCGACCCATGGCTTCCTGTGTTTTGGCGACAGGGCCGTCTTCGCGCCGGAGAGGCGGCACTACCCGGACACAAGTGTCACTCACCCACAACTCCACACAAAACAATTCTTTTGACAGCGTTCTTGAAGTTAAGATTTTCCTAGGCAAGTTTTTATTTTATGAAAACAAGAGCTGTATTTTGGGAGAACACAGTTAAAAGCGTCTTTTCCAGAATACAAGGGGTAATATGAAAAGAAAATTTGATTTTTGAACGTCACTCTGCAAAATATGACTGATTTCAATAAATAAATATTTTTTTTCTGTATTGTATTGTATGCAAGACCTAATGGTATTATCAGACACGCAAAAGCAAGTACTTGTATTAGTGGACTGAAAAAAAGGCTGGCAGTGCAAACCTACAATTTATTTATTTATTTCTAGTTCCTCTGGCATTTTGGCATATGCATTGTTTGGTGTTAGGATTATGATCCCAAATGTTTTAGAACGCATCTTAAAGCATCGCCTCTGCAGTCAAAAGCGGCAAATGGTGGCAACGTTTTGGACCAAACAAAGGGTAAAATATAGTTGGGGGATATTATGTATGACGGATTCAGTGAGGTGGGATTTCATTGAGAAACACTCGCCACGGAACAAGGTGAGGCAGTCAAGAGCCAACCCAACCCCCTTGAAAATATACACTTCTGCCCGTTTCCCCGCTGCTGTTTGCAGATTTGCAGGCCACTGCAGCTCGACAGGAAATTGGGCGTCGACCGCAAAACTGTGACTGACAGCTGAGAGTGTTTGGAGTAAGTATTGCCGAATGTCTGACAGTAGTGGACTCATTTTGCTTTTTCTTACTTTTCACCACACTTGATTTACTACTGTTTCTTGGTGGAACCGACCCTCAGCGGTATGATGAAAAAGTTAACAGTGAGCATATTTTTAAGCTACTTCTTTATGGCCTGAAGGTGCCACAAGATGCCTGGCTAAAAAGAAAGTAGTTCATGTGTCCAGGAAGTAATTGAAGCTCAGTTCGTGGTAGTTACAGAGAGTCTTCATCATTTGTACAGTATGTCCTGCATATACACACTTGTGCATTATTTTTCAAACTCAAATCATCTGGAAGTCCATCCATCCATTCATCCATTTTCCAATCTGAATGAATGAATGAAGGAATGAGTGAATGAATAAACTATTTATCCAGGTAAGGCAATGGGAAACAGATTCTTATTTGCAATGCAGCTGGCTGCAGGCAGCAGAGTAAAGTAAAGCAGCAGTAGTTGGCTAATATATGCGTTGAGTGCCTGGGCGTCAGTTGTGGGTGTTGCAGCTTGTGTATGAATGCATTTATTATGCCTTTATTTATAGTTATATTTATTCAATAAAGCGATTGAACATGTGCCAGCTGCTGTCTTTTCCTGACCATCGCAATATGATTTAACTCGCAATCAGAGGCTACATTACATTTGCTAATGATGACTGTTTGATGTGTGAGATGATCCCAAACTTTGAAGAATCAGTCATTGACCCACGCTTTCTCCCTGACTTGCTGCCACCACGCTGTCTTATTACGTGCGCCTGCAGTAACTTTAGAATTAATACTGTATAGGCAATTTAAAAACATTTTGGAAATGGGATCAGGTTTTTTTTTTTTTGTTTTCCTATTCAGAGCTCGGCCCCTAACCTTCACTGTATCGTGTCTTTTCAAGCGCTTCATCTGTTGGATGTTCATGCTGGATATACAGTCAAATCTCGGTTTTCGAACGTCTCTGTTCTCAACCAAATCGGTTTTCGACCCAAAATTTCGAGTTTTTTTTATGCCTCGGATTACGACCGAAAATCGGTTCTCGACCAAACTGAGCACAGTTGAATGTGCAACTCGAGTTCTCTCGACTTCCTTACACGAGGAAGTGACGCTTCCTCGGGTAGACGAAGAATTGACGCCTCCATTGTGAGCAGACGTGTTCAATAAAGATTAAAAAAAAAGAGCGTCCATTGTGAGCAGACGTGTTCAATAGTTTTTTTTAAAGAAAAAAGAGCATCCATTGTAAGCAGACGTGTCCAATAGAGATTAAAAAAAAAGCAGATGTGTTTGTTGAGATCTACGCAAATTGGGACTGTTATTTCTGCATGGCACCAAAGAAAGCAAGTGGAAGTCGTAAAGCTGGTGAAAAAAAAGGAAAAAGAAAGCAAGTGGAAGTAGTAAAGCTGGTGAAAAAAAGGGGAAAATAGTGCACAATACTATTGAATTTAAGAAAGATTTGATAGTGAAATATGAATCAGGTGTGCGTGTGTCTGTGTTGGCAAAGGAGTTCGGCATGCCGAAATCAGCAGCATCCTAAAAAAGAAAGACCATCTTAAAGTCAGTGATGTGGCTAGAGGATCTCGTGTGTTTATCAAACAAAGGCCACAAATATTGGAGGAAGTGAAGAAACTTTTGCTTATTTTCATAAATGAGAAACAGCTAGCAGGGGACAGTCTTAGCCAAGATACAATTTGTGGCAAAGCAAGACAATTGTTTGGAGGTTTGATAAAAATACTAGCATTGCTCCTGAAGAGTTTGATTTTTTAAAACAAGCATAGGATGGTTCGAATAGTTGAGGAAAAGAAGTGATTCGTCATGGGGAGGCAGCCAGTTCAGACAAGGAAGCTGCTGAAAAGTTCGAAGTTGAATTTGAAAATGTCATCAAGGCCGAGGAATGTCTTCCCCAGCAAAGTTTTAATATGGACGAGACTGGATTTGTGTGGATAAAGCGGTTCAGAAAATGGATGGAGGGATGTTACCTCGTACCATAGTTACAGCCATTACTTTAGGGTTTATAAATTCAAGGTGTAAAAGAATGCAATCTAGAATTGTCACGATGAGAGAGAGAGAGAGAGAGAGAGAGAGAGAGAGAGAGAGAGAGAGAGAGAGAGAGAGAGAGAGAGAGAGAGAGAGAGAGAGAGAGAGAGAGAGAGAGAGAGAGAGAGAGAGAGAGAGAGAGAGAGAGAGAGAGAGAGAGAGAGGGAGAGAGGGAGCAAGAGAGAGAGTGAGAGAGAGAGAGATTTACTTCAATTTTTATGTTACAATGTCAATGTTTACGTTAAAATTGGTAAAAATAAAACTTACAAAATGTTTGTAGTTTGTTTGTACAGTATTTTACATATTACCTGCTCTCTTATTACATGTGTATACAGTTTATGGTGTAAAATAGTTTAAAACATGCTTTAAAAAAAATTGTTTTCTAGACTTGAAACGGATTAAAATGTTTTACATTGATTATAATGGGAAACATGGTTTCGGTTTTCGAACGAATCAGTTTTCGAACAGTGTTCTGGGACGGATTATGGTCGAAAACCGAGGTTTGACTGTAAACTGTATAGATAACACTTCTACCACACATTACCTTTACTGCTTTCCTTTACATTGAAATCGGTTGTGTTTTCCCAAAGCAGGAAAAAGATGACCTCAGGATGGTATTTGACTGGTAAATTTGTAAAACGTAAACAGGCAACAAGCAACCGGTTGACGGTGGCTGAGCTGCCAGGGCGCAGAGGTAGCTGCTCTAATTACAAAAACTCCTCAGAGGGTCGTTTTTCCATTAGCCCTAAACAGGAAGAGGAAGGGGGGGAGTTGCCTGTATTTTATTATGAAGAGGCCTGATAACAGCAGAGCTCTTGTTTGTTTGTTTTTCACCTCCCTAATTGCAGCCCTGGCGAGCAAAAAAACATGCAAAGCTGCGGGGCTTTAGGCATTAAGATGCATATTAAAAAGGGGGGGTGGCTATATGATTATTCACAGATAAACATGTTGGATTCTTGCTCATGGTCTCGGTAAGGCAGACATCTGTACAATAAATGTCACAGAACATGAAGCCGGTATTTTTCCTCCTTTTTCCTGTGTCGCTGTCAAGTTTGACAATTTACTCATTTCTCTCCATGTTGTGGTTAAAGCAACTGTCAAGAGACTGACAGCCACTTTGTACATCACACTAGGCACATGGGACAAAGGCTGAAAATTTGTAGCTTTAATAGTCTTTGCCAACACATCTGATTACCGACCAAAAATGAAGTAATCTATTCCAGAAACATCAAAATGGAGTCACACACACACACAAGAAAAAAGGAAATATGATGAGCGTACTGCGTGCTTAACAGGGGTTGGCTCGTGGACCAAGATTGAGTGCAACGGTATAATTACTTGTTATTGTTGCGGTAATGAAAATGCCTGCAGGGAATGAGACTGGGTGTTTACCAGACACTTGTTAAAAAAAAAAAAAAATAGCGGGAAAGGTTCATTGGCAGCCATTAGTGATGCCGCCAGATATGACACTCCAGCCCAACCCAGATTTGTTTGTCTACTGCATCGTCACTGATCCAAAAAAAGTGTCACTTTTTTAGAAATGGAAGTCTTCCAAATTAATTACCTGGTTATTTTACATTCAGACTGTAACATTGTCTAAACAAATCTTGTTCACGCTGACCCGCAAAATCAACTAAAACCTCGGCAATGTGCATGCCAGGCCAGTAGTTGGCGATGGGCACGTTGTCCTCAGAGTTGAGAGTCTACATGTGAATTCTTGTTGCATTTTGGAAAGAAACATCCAAAATTCAACAAAACCTCTTTAAAAAAAAAGGACAAACACTCACAAAATGTGGAGATACATAAGAGGTCGAACCCTGCCATGAATAGCAAAAAAAAAAAAGGGGGGGCAAACTAGATGACATCCCCCAATCCCTCCCACTACCCACAGGAAAAAAAAAAAAAATCTAAATGTTGTTGCCGCATAAAAGAAGTGAGGGTGAAGGACTTACCAGGCCAGCAATGGGTGTTGGAAGCCTGTTGATTTTCTTTACCAAGCCGGGTTTAATGGAGCTCAGTAACCTGACAATGAGAAGCTCAGTTAATACATGAACACAATTTCTGAACCACGTAGCACCTTCCAGCATTGACGGCTTTTTGGGGAGGGACGCAGAGATTTAAAAAACAAAAAAAAAAGATAACACAGCACAAATTATTTTAGGGTCTTCAGTTCAGTTTGAGAACCAGCGCTGTATGGGCCTCATGTTTCTTTTATGCGTTTCATCAGGGGGAAGTAGTGGAATGAAACGTGTCCTGCGGAGGAAGCACCAACCCATGGATAGCCTTGTGCCATTTGATATCGCCGGCATTCTGGCAAAGTTATTTAGTGATGAAAAGATGTAATTTCCCCATTAGGAAACTCCTCTTTCCCACCGCATAACTCGCACAACTTCAATCACAGCAAAGCCCAGCTCTGTTTCATTCTCCCAGAACAGCTTTCAGCAAACCCAGCAGAAGATTGTTGTCTGCTGTCCAAATCGGAGGTGTCCTGTGGCAACAATGTGGTCGGGATTGCGCGATGATGCCCTCCGACTCCCATAAATGTACGGCCGAGGCCCACCGACCACAAACCTCATTTCACGCTTGCTGTGAATCGACAGCTAGCTGATGACAAATATCCGAGGACGGGAGCAACAAGGACACGCGTACATCCTTCGTAACACGACGGGGAAATTATAGAGTGCGGAAGGCAGCAAAACAAAGTTATGTTCCACCAGGTGAAACAACCCAACATAACATTTTTAGTCCTTTGAGCAAAACAAAAGATTTGTGAGAGGTCCCGTCAGACATGATTAACAAGCTCGTGTTTCTGGCAAAGAATCGCAGAAGTTGCACTGCAACGCTAATGCCTTGAGCCAAACATTGATATGCACGCACGTTTACCTCTGTTTTGATTTGTGAGTAAGATATTTTCTGCCAACGCGAGGTGCGTGTTACCTCCCACCAGTTACAGCACAATACATTTGTTATTGATCGTTAAAGCAGAGCGGCCGTAAAATGTTTAATTTCTTTATTTATTGGTTCATGCGGAAGGGGGCTCGTAAATCGAGAGGTTTATTTTATTTTATAACACAGCGAGTACGCACGACTAGGACACGTTTCATTTGATCTCTGCGTGGTGTCAAATTGTGTAATGGATTGAAGGAGGAGCACAACGTTACTGTTTTTACAATATCCCATTTAAGATAAGATAACCTTTATTTGTCCCACACTGGGGAAATTTAAAGTAGAGGAATAGTTGCAATGTCAGAGCTTGTTAACCATCGATTTGTTGCGTGTAAAGGATGCGGTCTGCAGCGCAGTACGATCGAAAAAACAACTCGGCAACTAAAATCAGTTCCTGCTTTCCCTTACTTCAACAGCCAATCAGAATCTATCAACATAAAAACATGTCTAAGCAATTATTAATAAACAGAATGCAATTTAGGTAATCTTAACATTAAATATGATGCTCAAACATAAAATGATCATTAATAATATAACATAAGCTTACATACGTTTATGGGCTCACTCAGAACGGCCCTCTGAGCAAGAGCGTACTTGCGATGCGGCCCGCGACAAAAATGAGTTTGACACTCCTGCTCTGGTGATGACTGCCGGTGAGTTCTAATCAATACAAAAGCATTTGATACTGTTTTCAAAAAAGGCAGGATTTTCACTGAACCCAGTGGTTCTGTGTCAAATCGATAGCGAGATCTGGTATGAATGCGGACATGTGAAAATTTGTCCACATCTACTGCACACTCTTATTACCTCTTTAGTCCAGTAGTGCTCCTAGCATTGACCATTGACCGTGTTTGCAAGTCACTGCATTGCGGTAGGTAAGATTAAAACAGAGCTAAAGCACAACAACACATAGGGAGGCAACCACAAGCGAGTGTTTCATCACTCGAGCCTGACAAAAATCCAAATAAAGCACCACTTACTCGCATAGCAGTATACCATTCTCCAATCCTCCCCTGAAATTCTTGTCACCAAAGCATCTTCCTGTCACCGCCTACGGAGGAAAACATCCGTGAGTCCACTCATTTGGCAAATATTTTAGGCTGTAAATCCAAGCGATAAACATACTCAAATATGACAACTTTAATTTCCGGTCTTTTGAAGCGCTCAAGTCCGGGAACGGCATTGTACAAAAAGCAGCCTGGGCCATACGTCAAGTCCATCGCTGGTTAACGGTGCTAAACGCTAACGAGCTTGGCGTAAGCTGCAATCATCCTGAGCAAATGGCCACGGCGAGCTAATGTGTTGTGACAGGGGATTTATAAATGGAGGGGGGAGCTGCCTGGTTGCATGCATTTGCACTATAGCCCGCGAGTCAATTAAAAGCGTGGCATCTTTGGATTTGATGTGGTTTTTGTGAGACATTGAAATCTCTTCATTGTGACTGTTGTCAGGTGAGGCACGCAGGCCGCGGAGAGGAATGTGCATGACTCACTTGTTTTCACTGGAATGTCACTTGCATTGTTTCACAAACAAATAGTTCGGGAACATTCTCCGCCTGACTTCCCTTTTAATTTCCTTCAAAAGGAATGCTAACACGCAGAATTAAAATACAGAGAGTCAAAGGGCACACTTCAAAAGTTGCACAATTTTTTTGGGGGGGTTCAATAAAATGGTCCAACACAATCTCTCGGAGGGCTGACTTGTATTCATGTATTGTTCATTTTGCAGCATTTCTATTAGCTGCTCTGCGTCCAGTGTACAGTATGCGCATCATGGAGTATTTGTCCAATCGGGGTTTCAGCCTACTTGTGTTGCCATGTCAATGTAATCTGCTCCAGAGTGCTGGCCCATGTAAATCAAGCTATATTAGCAATGGAACTGTTCACATCTGTGAGGTGCCTTCAAAAGCTGTGTACTTTGACTCCATCTTGCTAATGGAGTAGTAAACACATAACGACAGTAAATATTTGTATGAAAATAACATCTAGGCCAGGGGTATCAAACTCATTTTTGTCGCGGGCCATTTTGGGGTTACGTCTTCCCTTGGAGGGCCATTATGACAGTGAAACGAATAAATATCCAATCATCACATCGTATTATTACTTGTACACAACAAATCAAATTGATGGATTGCTAGTTTTGAAATCTGTTGGTTTTTTTGTTTGTTCAATTATTGTCCAAGAGTGAGTGTAAACAGTGGGATTAAAAAAAAAAAAAGTTGCTAAATCTCAACATTATTTATTACGCATGAAATTTTGACATTTCGGTCCATATTTGAGCAAGGATCAGAGAAGTTGACACACATGATTTGCTTTTGTGTGGCGGGCCGGATCTGGCCCCCGGGCCTTGAGTTTGACATTTGTAATCTAGCCATCAATACAAAACGTTCCAATGAAAAGTATTTCAGTAATTGAGCCTGCCCTCTTGTTGCGTGTGACCCCGTATTCTATATGCCTCGTTTCGGCTCGCAATGCAATGGCATTTTGAACTTCGAGACCCTCGGAATCATAAATCAAGCGTCCCTATGCTTTGAAATGCTTCACTGCCGACTGACTAATTAGCCTCTTCACGCATAAAAAGTGATGACGTTGACAAATTTGAAGAGGCCTTCCCAGTGCGTTTGAAGAGCTAAAACGGGCTAAAAAGGATTCCTCTCAAGTCAAATCATGCCTGGCATTGGATCACAAGCCACTTGCCAAAATAACCTCCTGTTTTGGAAAAAGATCCAAATCAAAACAGGGGACTGTTTGAACTGCTCCTCGGCTCTGCCTTCCGGCCCGGGGGGCCGAGAGTCTGGAAAAATCTACCTAGGTCCCAAATTAACAAGCAATAAGTCTAGGTATGAATGCAGGCCGGTTGCTGCGCTAAGTAATGCACTACTCATTCAAGCCCAGAGGCGACAGACGCCTGACAGGCTCATCTTGACTCTTCGTCGAGGACCGAGTACACAAACAAAAGATGTGTGCTGCCAAGACACGTGGCTGGCTTTTGTAATCGGATGCATTCTTCTTTTACAGGATGTTGTCTACAGTAGGTTATGTAATTGTCAAGTTCACAAACACATGCGAGTGCGTCTTGCGGCTTCGCGGGCCAATAATCTCGTTAATACAACTTGGCGAGCGCGCTTAAGCCGCAAATGCCTTTGGTTTCCGATTAGTGGGACGAAAACAACAATAGGCCAAAAAGCCCTTTCGAAAAACAAATATTGTGCCATATTGTGTATGGCACAGCGCGGTGCCGAAACTTCACACGACGATGAGAGATCTCCGGACGGGGGTCTCATCAGCAAGTTCAACCCGAGGTCAGCAGTGGTATCTGCTGACAATACGCCAATGCAGATCTTTTCATTAGCCATCACCACAGGGATCCCCTATTGTGAAGATAGGAATTGTTGCTTCTGCGCCTGGAGTGCTGCCACGCTGAGATGGCGGACGGAGTGGCGAGGGCACCAAATATGCCGGACCTATTCTACTTAAAAATACCACCCAGATGCAGGTTAAAAAAAAAGTTTACACATTTTTTGTGAAGCTTTAGGCCATGTTCACATGGACATTGGTGTGAGAAGGATCTCAGAGAATTCCCAGAACAAAAAGGATCATTCAAACCAAAAGCCCAACTTCCTGTTCGGTTTTTCACGGTACCCATTTGGGCTAATTCACTCGTTGGTCAAAGCGGGAGCTCTGGAACTCACTGAAAAGTGTTGTTTCAAACCAAAATGGCTGACTTTGTTTAATTGAGGATTTCCTCTTATGATAGAGTAACCTGTTGTGGTGTTTACGTAATTTCATGTCGACTGGTGAAATTGGTGTCAGGGGCTGAGTATTGCTTCGTTTTGGGGAACTTGACTGGATAATTTCTTTTTTTTTTTCATGGCAAATGCATGGAAAGACATACTGAGGCTCTCAAAAAGGCAGTTCCTTCTATACTCTCTGCATATAATTAAAAAAGCAATTCAAGAGCCCCACTTTTACACCGCCTGGTGCTCAGGCTATTGTGAAGGTTTTAATTTGGGGATGAACTGTGTGTGTGTGTGTGTGTGTGTGTGTGTGTGTGTGTGTGTCAATTAGGACTTTTCAGACACCTGCAAACACTGTAGACCAATGGTCCCCAAACCACGGTCCACGGGCCAGATGCGGCCCACCTCCACATTTTGCCTGGCCCCCTGAACAATTCCCAGTGATGCATTATTTTTTTTTCAGTCTGGTCACTTGCTCGAGACTCGTAACATTCTATTCCACCCTTCTGCAGTCTGTGTCCTATCTGAAACCCCACCCTCCAAAAGAAAAAATAAATAAGATCCTGGACATACTCCTGTCAAATAAAATAATGGAAAAAAAATTCGGCAAGAGACAAATTGATTGAGAGTGTACGGTATTTAGCATGCAGTGGACAAATGATTATTATCATTATTATTATTACTTTTTTGCTCAATGCAAAGATAATTGGTAGATATTGCATTAATTTGGTTTCTTGGTCTGCTTGCTTTCTGGTTTTCACAGTGAAGTTGATGAGAGAGAGCTGCAAAACAGTCGTGTCTACAAGAAATTTACATGGTTACATGGTCTTTTTTTCTGTGAAAAACTTAAAAAGGGTTGTTTGGTTCTTATTGATTTTATAAATAGCGTTATTTATTTGATTAATAGTGTTATTTATTTTCAGATTTTTTTTCAAGACCCCAGGAAGGGTAAATATGAATAAATGTTTACATTTTGACACTTCTGCGATCGTCACACTTGTTACAAACTGACCCCGGCCCTCTTCAGAGAAGGGAAAAGTTATTTGACCCTCACTGGAAAAAGTTTGGGGACCCCTGCTGTAGACATTAAGCTGGGTATGTCAATTCACCAAATTAATCACGTGTAAAATCATTGATGAATTAATTTAAAGGCATGAATTAACGCTGCATTTTTCAAATGTCACATAAAAGTTAAGTTCACGTAAAATCCCGCAAGGGTTGCTTCATTCATGCTGCGAAATTTCTGAACACAGCACATCATTGTGAGGACTATTTTTTCAGAATGCCACCATAGGCCTGGAAAACAGGATCGTTTGTATCTGATCTGAAACTGATTCTTGAATCCATTTTGAGTTTTTTTTTGTTTTTTTTTTAAATGAGCGTAGCTTTAAGCTTATTGTGGGACCAAACATGTCTCAAGCCTGCAGTCCCGCAAATCAGCACAGTCAGTTGCAAATTCACCCATCAAGTTAAACTAATCTGAAAACAGGTTCCAGTAGATTCTGTTCCCCATGCAGTATATTAGGCAGGTCTTTGGAAGGAAGACTTAAATCACAGAATTTTTCCTTCGCCAAAGAAGGAAAGCTACATGAAACATGGATCATCTCCGGTAACGACAGATAAGAGAATATTTGACGTCATTTTATGCAGCCGAATCAACACTGGGCTGCAAAACGTTTCGTGATCCCACAGCTGATTTGCTGCCTCTTAGTTCTGGGTGAAAGGAATGAGGTTGGAAAGGGGGTTTGAAGTCGAGGAGTGAATTTTCCGACTTCCAAGGTGGCATCAGGGGCCGAAGGTGACGTAGTGGTGGCACTGTCAAATGGGGGAGCAAAAAGCCGGGACTTAAGTGTCTAGTTCAACCTTGACTTTTCACAAGACTGCAGGCAGATACATTCTAAGTGGATTTTCAGTTATACTTCTACTTTTTTTAAGGTTTCCTTATAAAAGTTGCATGGGATCAAGTGTTACTCAATGTACCTTGCACTCTCTAACATACACTACTCATAAAAAGAATTCAGGCTACGGTGCTCAAACACCTGTTGTGACTTTTACCGTTAAAGAACAGCAACTTGTGCAAAACGTACTGAAACATTTAACAGTTGCACATGTGCATTCAAAAGCTTAGAGAAGGTCACATTAAGTTCACCTGTAAAAATGCATTTAGGCTCGTCCTGAAATTTCACCCAAAAGCCAGATATCGCTACCTTTTGTGTGTAGTGGAAGACGAACACTGTTCAGACAAAAAAAGGCAAAACCCGCCAGATCAGTTGGACCGTCCTGCTGGTCAAATCTTGTGCAACTACCCGATTAGT